AGATTCTTGGGGATGGAAGAGGAGGGCATTGTTCTTTTGACATACCTTGTTTTTCTTTCCCTTCACTCAGCAAGGCCTCCTTGCCCCGTTTTTCTAATCTCTCTCTCTCTCCTCCCACCTTCTTCTCATATGTCTTAAGGGCTATAAATGGACAGCATCTTGTTACTTTTTTTCTCCTAACAGTTTTACCGACATATAATTCATGTATCACACAATCCGATGGTCTCAATGTATTGAAGAGAGTTGTGCAATTATCACCACAGTCAATTTTAGCACATTCTCTTCATTTTTGTATCCATTAGTATTAGCTTCTCCTTTCCCCTCAGCCTCCCCTACCATAACCCTCACTCACACACTGCCATTGAGTAAATTCCGATTCACAGCGACAGTAGGGGGCAAGGTCCAACCGTCCCTGTAAATTTTTGCAGCACTGTAACTGTTTATGTGAGTAGAAAGTCTCATCTTTCTGCCATCATAACCCTAAGAAACTATTAATACAGTTGTAATCTCTATCCATTTTACCTATCCCGAGTTTCATATAAAGACAATCAATTAAATACCAAAACAACCCAACAACAGAAACAAGCACAGAAAAACTTCGATCTAAAAAATTATCAGAAAATAATACAAGTTAAAAATGGGTCAAAGGGAAAACAAATGGTGTGCTGTTAAATTTTCACTTCACTGGTGTGAGGGAATTCAATGGAGACTTAGTCCAATGGGGGCTCTGTAAATGGATTTGGGGTTTTTGCTGTCATCTGTAGCCTTCTGCAAACTGGGTGGCCAGAATTTCAGCTTTCATCCAATCTCCTCCTTTGATCTTGGATTGTTTTCTGTTCATAATGCTTTCTGTTATGTTTATTGCTAAAAGTACACACAGCTGTTGTTTCCTCTAAGCGATTCCTTGGACTTGTCTTCTGACATCAGTGGGATCAGGAAAGATCATGCTGTTTTATGTAGCTTCTCAGTTGCCATTTCTAGAACATTTTATCCATGGAAGTGGACACTGTACGAAAGCAAAATCCCTTGGCCTCCACTGGATAACAGAAATTCCCACAGACATCCCATGGAAATGACAGTTATTCAATCTCCCTCCACTCCCAACATAAATATAGTTTAAAACATCGAAATCTGTTCTGCACTTTGAAATCTTCCCTGATCCTCTATCCTCATATTTCACAGCCCGCCCTCCCTCCCTCCCTTTTAGGACAATTGTCAACGATTTGCAGGTGGACCATCTGGAATTTCTGACCATTCCTGGGTTTTGCCAAGACCTGTTCAAATGCATAGTTGTGTGGTCAATACCCTTGTCTTTACATTGAAAAGGACCACTGGTTTCTTGACCTCAGGTCTTAAGGAGTGCTTAACTGTGAGGAGAGTTCGTTCTTTAAGACTTCAAAGTGAGAAGGGGGTGTTAGGAATGCTACAGTTAGTATGTTAGTATGTTAGCATGTTCTAGCCTGATCATCGCCTGGGTTGGAGAAAGGGCTTCTGGCTTCTGGCTTGCTATGAGAACTCTGTGTCCGATGAGGAATGTGGGGCACAGTGCAATTCCATTCTGCAATCTGGGAATGCGATCCCCCCACGGACTTCCAACAGCTTTGGCCCATACTCCTGAATTTTCTAGCTAAGGTCATTCAAGGAAGGGAGAAAACGGGGAGTGGAGGTGTCTCAGAGCACAGACCGGCCCCACCAGCTCAAACGCATCCACATTCTCCATGGCAGCGCTGACTTTTACATCCAGTGACAGGTGCTTCCCCGTCCCTTTCAATCGTCTTCACGACAGGACATGCTCCTTCTCAGCAGGGTCTTACCCATCCGTCACTGTGTCCAGCTGAAAAATGTATGAAACTACCAGGAACGCCTAATGCCTTTAGCCTCGCCTTTAGAGGGCATCACATTGTTGCCCTTACTTTGACAAGTGCAGCTCTCTTTTCTCAGCGAAGAAGCTTCTCCAGATTAGCCAAGCTAGTCTGCTCACCTTCCCCAGGACCGGGGTAGACACCATGGCCTTGCCCATGCCCTGGCCCTGCCAACTAAACTCCCTGAGCTCCTCTCTCAATGCCTGCTTTCGACTCGTCTGCAGGCAACTTCAAATAGACCTGTTTCAGGAAGCTGGTTCCGAAGCTCTCAGCCTGATGTTTTCCCTGCAGTGCCAGCACTCAGCGTTTGTCGATTCCTGTGCCTGGCTCCACCAGCAGTGCCCATGGAAGCAGCAGTCAAAAGGCCAAAAGATACATTGCATTAGGCAAATCCACTGCACAAAACCTCTTTAGACTACTGAAAAGCAAGGGTGTTACTTTGACGACTAAGGTGTGCCTGACCGAAGTCGTGGTCCTTTTCCAATGGCCTCATATGCCTGTGAACGTTGGACACTGCAGAAGAAAGGCCGAAGAAGAACCGATGTATTTGAATTGTGGCACTGCAGCAGACTGAAAAAGACCGCGGACTGCCAACAGGACAAACCGATCTGTATTGAAAGAAGTAAGGCCAGAGTGCTCCTTAGGGGCAAGGATGGCAGGACTTCCTCTTACATACGTATATAGGACATGTTGTCAGGAGAGACGGGTCCCTGGAGAAGGACATCATGTTTGGTAAAGGGGACGGGTGGTGAAAAAGAGAAAGGCCCCCAAGGAGATGGATGGACACAGTGGCTGCAACAATGGGCTCAGGCAAAGGAACAGTTGTAAGGATACCAACAGGACTGGGCCGTGTTTCCTTCTATTATACATAAGGTCGCTAAGGATCAGAGCCCACCAGATGAGCCCCCTAACAACAACAATAACAATAACATGATTCAAAAGTCTAAGATGCTCCCAGCCTCTTCCCCCATGCAAGTTACCTGGCTCAATCTCTGATACACTCACCTTCTCCCAGTTATTCACCCTGATGCGAATTCAGATGCCATTGTGAAGGAATTTTGCAGATGTGACTCAGGTCCCAGGTCAGCCCATTTTAAGACAGGGAGCTTATCAAGGGATGGGGCTGGCCGCCTCATCAGGTAAGTCTCTAAAAAGAACTGGACTCTCTTTTTTGAAGAAAAATTCAGAGCGCGAGAGGGACTCCGCGACAGAGAAATTGTCGGGGGGAGGGGGTTGCTTTGGAAGCTGGTTGAGGCCACCTAGCAAGGAATGCGGGTGGCCTGGAGGAGTTGTGAGTGGCCCTTGATGGACAGCCAGGACAGAAACGGGAACCTCAGACCCACAAGAGCAAGAAACTAACACTAGCTAACAACTTGTGGTAGTTTTAGAAAGCACACGTGTTTGCTCTTGTTGATTTTGTTTCTATCTAGAAAAGAAAGCTTTTAACTTACTTTGTATCCTGTTTCCTGCCCCAGTCATAACGAGAAGCTATTAGGGAGAGGGGCCTTAATTACCTGCTCAGTTGCAGTTCAGGGGATATAAAAAGCCCAGGCCATGAGAGCTTGTGTTGTTAAAACAGCCCCTAGACTCCTGTCCGTTCACAAATCCTCCTGCCTCTTGCGTTAGAGACACATCGCTGCACATTCGACCATCTTCGGGATAGCTTCACCTGGGTGTCCCACCAGTCCTGTGAAAGCAGTAAGTCCCAACCTTGTCTTTCTTTCCCCAAACTGCCCCTCTCTCAGGATTCTCTAATACTGTCAATAGCACTTTCAACTCAACGCCTGTTGCCACCCCGCCTACCCTCCTTCCAGGTCACCTCCGGGGCTCCGAATTCCAGCTTTTGCCCTCACAGCTCCATCTGTTGCCAAGTTCTCTCCAACCAGTCCCTCTGCTCCATTTTGATTGTTCGTTGGTGTTGTGGTCACACACACCCCTTTAGTGCTGCTCCCCTAGAATACTGTAAGAGTCTCCGAGCTAGCTGCCCTCCGCGGATCAGGCTCCCCCGAAGCTGCCCCCAGCACGGTTCAAATCACAACCTCTGTCCGGCTCCACTACCTGCCAAGGAACCCATTAGCTCCGCACTCGCAGCTCTCCCTGAACTGAACTCAGATCTCCCTTTCCTCGTGCTTTCAGACTCTCTTCCATGTGTGTTTTGTCCCCCTTCTAAGTGACTCGGGGTGATGGGCTGCCCTTGAAAACCACTCTATAAAAACGTTCCTTGCTTTCGCAGGTCTGTGTACTCCTCGTGGGGCTCCCCGGCATCCTCCGGTCACTTTTCCTTGAGACCTATTGCCCTTCCAGTTCTCTGCAATCGGATATTCTCATACCTTGGACTCTTCTGAACAGAGAGTAATCACTGGGCTTGTTGACCTGCCAAGGGGCAATGTGGTTCCAGAACAAAATCGTGAGTGCCCAGAGCTAACCACATCAGCCTGCCCGCCTGCCAGAGAGCTTCCCTCCTGCCCCGTCCCCTCCCCTAAGACGCAGGCTACCATTTTCTTCCGCTTAAGAGTCCGAAACGAAGGGACTCAAGTGGCGCCAGTGGCGTGTTGGTGGTTTGGGTTTGGGGGTGATGAGTGGTTTCCCTGCTAACATTCCCGAATGTTAGCCCACAGCTTCCCTGGCTCAGACAGGGCCCCATGTCTCTCAGGATGTTTAGGGACTGAGTCCCACTGCCCCTATCCCGCACGCGCCCCCCCCCCTTTCCTGCGCACCCCAGTGTGCTGTGTCCCCGGTGGGTGGCCACCCTCAAGTTCCCGCTTCTGGGAAATCACTTTGCCCTCTGTCCACTCCTTCCTGTTCTGGTTTGGGGCTCCCAATCTGAAAGAAAAGGTGTGTGTGTATGGGAGGGGGAGCTTCCCAGGCTTCGTTTTCGAACTGGCGGGTGGAGCAGAGGCCGGGTGGATTCGGGTTTGGCGGGCACTGCCCTCCGGCTACCGGCTTTCATGACCTAAGCAACTTTGCCGGCCCCCCTCCCCCCGCGCGCTGGCACGTCTTGGTACGGCCTGGCCAGCGCTCGCGCTCCAGGTCCCCCCTGTCCTTCCGGTTAGGTTGGTTCGGCCCCGGTCCACTCTGGGGTGGTGCTTAGTCGGCGCCAGATCGACCCTCGGCTCCTGCGCGGCAGCGCCGTTCCTCTGGGCGCGTCCTCGTCGCCGGCGCCGGCTCTCTCAGCCTCCTCCGCCGCGGCGGGCAGCAGACACCCCGGTGTATGCCCCAACCCTGACCCCACCCGCGACATGTCGACCCCGGCTCGGCGGCGTCTCATGAGGGACTTCAAGAGGTAACCGGGGGCGGCCGGCGCGCAGGGCGGGTCCCCCGGGCGGGGGCCGCGGGCCGCGCGGGGCCGAGGCACTGAGGGGCGGCGGTCCCCGCTCTTGAAGGTTGCAGGAGGACCCTCCGGCGGGAGTCAGCGGCGCTCCCTCGGAGAACAACATTATGGTGTGGAACGCGGTCATTTTCGGGTGAGTCGGCGCTCCCTTCCCCCCCTCCCCGGCGGTGGGCAGCCGCGCCGGGTCCCCTGGGTGTCCTCGGGCCGACGCGGGGAGAAGGCGGACCCGGTTAGGGCCGGTTGGGCCTAGGCGCCTTCCCGGAGCCTGCCCCTCGATTAGCTCTGTTTCCGCTGCCAGGGAAACCGTTTGGGGTTCTAAGGGGGCGGAGCGGTCAGTAGTGGCGGTTAGGCCCCAGCTGCGAGCGCTGTGGGCCCAGACCGCCCTGATCCTTAACCCTGGAGGAGATTACCAAACTGTGGGGGAGCCACCAGCTTTCAGGATGTGCCCCTGGGTAGTGGGGGGGCACCCCCCAAACAGGAACTGACAGCTTTTCTTTGCCTTGCAGGCCTGAAGGGACCCCTTTTGAGGATGGTAAGGGAGTTTCTTTCCCCACATTTCAGGAAGGAGAGCCCTCCTCAGGGACCAAGGCTCCTCCCAGCCGCCCCGGAGGGGCACCTCCTGCTTGGGGGCCTGCCTTGGGGGACCCAGGGCAGGAGTGTCTCTGGCAGGTGGCTCTTGTCTATTGTCTGCTTCATTCCACCAATTGGAGCTGGCGTTCCTTTTCTCTTCCTTCCTTCCTTCCTGCTTTCCCATCTGGTTGAAGGTGCTGGCTATTTGGTCAGAGGATTTTGGTAGTGCTGAGTATAAGGATTTGTGCGAGATGATCATTGGGAGGGGGTGGGGGAAGCTGTCACAGTTAAGCACATCAAGAGTTGGTAGACACTCAACCAGTGGCTGGGCTGGTTCGGGACCTTAGAGACCACCTGGTTGCGCAGGCCAGGGACCGGCCAGCAGGTGCTTTGGAAGAGTCTGGTGGCTGTTGGATGGAGGTAAGAATTGCGCGCACACACACATACACATATACACTCCCCCCTGCCCATACCACACAATCCCATGCCCACAGCTGTCTGGTTTGTATGGTCTTCAGTGGGTGTTCACCAGCCTTTAAGAGGGTCTGAGATGGGTACGTTGAGTATAATGTGGTATCTTAGTTCTGAATGTGAGCATTTATGAAGACTTTCTGATTGGTCACGGTCATCTCCAATAGGCTGCGGAATGGATGTTAACCAGTGTCCAACCTATTTGAAGAGACCATCACATGGGACTTAAAGATACATAACTCTTAATGGCTGGAGTGTTTTTGTCTTTTTTTTTTAAACAAGCCTGTTCATTTCTTTCTAGAACAATTTCTTACAAACTGAGCAAATTAGGAATTCTTGTCTAGATGTCAGAAGCAACACAGAGACCCACATACCCATCACCCAGTGCCAGGCTGTTTGATCACACCTTGAATAACCCCACCACGGTATCCCAGCCAAGAAATGGGTGCTGATAGCATTTTTTGACAAGCAACACGCTGTGTTGTATGTGTGTGGTTGATGGTATATGTATTTTTAAAAAGCGAAATCCATTTTAAAGTTGTCTGTGAACATGAAGGAACAGTTACTGACTCAGACTTACTAGTTTCACTAATGAAATGGTTTCATAATGTCAGTTGTTTTTTTTAAGGATCCCTCTGCTATTTATTATCTACCTCCCTCCCCCACCACGATCTACCACCTTTTAGGCATGTAGCATCTGATCTAGATTCACACAGCTCAGTTTGAAGGTGGGAGGAACATACATCTCTGCAGACCACTTGGCACAGCCTTAATGTTGTCAAGTTGGATTGCTTTCTGATGGGACCGGTCCCTGAGAGGTGGGGTGGGTTCCAGAACTTGCCTCAGGTACTCACGTTTCCTTAAACAGTAGCTAGTCTCTGAAGATTTGTAGCTGCCTCTGTGCCTTGGCTCCCCGAGTGTATTATCAATGCGCTGCAATGAGCAGAGTGACAGCAGGAGAAAGTGAGTTTTACAAACATTCAACTTTGTTGCCCTACAACCACTGGAGCAAAGAAACAGCTAGACTGAATTTTCCTCTGATAGCATGATCTAGTTCTTTCAAACTCAGCTTTACATGCAGAGGAATTGTATTGGCTTTTAGCTCTCGCAGGCTTAGTTTTCATGGGCTCTTTTTTCTCTCTCCACCCCCCTCCCCCAATTTACTCAGACTGCTTTGTGCTGGACACACCTGATTGCTAGCACATTATTTTGTGTGCAGTTAGGTATTTTGAGGGGGCTTGCCTTTGGTACAGATTGAGAAAGGTACTTGTGGACTCCAGCATCTACGTGGACCTTTGACACCACAAAGGCTCCTTGTGATGATGGATACCTCCATCCTGGCATTCCTGTGTTCATTCCAGACGAGATGACAGGACCTTTTCTGGTGCAGTCAGTGGAACGCTCCATGGACGATAGATAGCGCAGATGTCTAGCGACATATTTCTTAACTGCCGTTCTTTGAGCAGCCCTGTCTGTACAGCTAGGGAATGTACTGGAAATGATTGGCATGTGGTAGGGTTTGAGTTTGCTGTTTCTGGTACATTGTGTAATTAATCAACCAGCCCCCAAGTACTTTTTCCGCTTCTTCATGGAAAACTAACCATAGTGGGAGGTTCTGGAACAGCCAGGCCCTTATTAAAGAGATGAAATCTCCAGGAAAGGAACTCTTAAAAGTATTTGAACTTTGCAAACTTGAAGTGACAGGAATCTAGTCCCAAGAGCTTACGCTGCCAAACAAAACACTGGGTGGGGAGAGTGCTTCCTCCTCTCAATACCTTGGTATGTATGCCGCACACATGGGTTAGGGAATGAATATGTTGGTCTTTGTTGCACCATCTAGAAATGGTTCATAGACAAGTAAGGAACTAGTGTTTTCTTTTTTTATTCTTCCCTCGGCGAATCCTCTATGAAAGTTATTCTCAAGGTAAATAATTCCTGTGCTGATGAGTAGTCGGGTATTTTTAAAACTCCGCTTTTGCACCCCCCCCCCAGTCATAAAAAGTTGTAAATCCGTGTACTATTCCTTTGCCTCCGGGGTCACAACCTGGTGTCCCAGCTGGCAGCAAACGTCTACAGGAGAGAACAGTGCATTTGTCGATTTGAATTTGAGTGCTGGAGGCCAACCACTCTCCAGATGAACTGTACCACTCCCTGTGATAACACCAGAAGCTGGACACGAATTTCCCTGTGTCTAGGTGGGCTTAATGGCTACTATGGGGTTTTGTTGCTCTCTACTTGGGTAATCCTGCTCATTTGTTTTCCAATCTCTCCCCCCCCCACCCCCCTTCATTTAAACTTTTCATTGTCAAGGCTTTAGAGATCAGATCATTTTGGCCTTTAAAAACTTAAATCTCCCAAGGGCTTCTTGTGCTCTCCCCTTCCTCTCCCCCTCCCTGCTCCCTCTTAGTGGATGTTATCTTCCTCTTTACTCAAGTTAATTCCTATGGAGCCTTAACTTGCAGCTTCCTTTTCCCTCCCCTCACTTCCCACCCTGCCTTGGTCACCATCAGACTGTTTAATGGATCCTTTCCTTAGAGTGTTTTGGCCTTTGCAGGAAGATGAACAATACCAGTAGAGATGGCATCAGTGGGCAGGCTGACCTTGTCAGTTATTTAGGGTGCAGCCTTGTAAGTATGCCGAGGGTCAACTGCTGTGCTTCAGAGCCTCCTGCTTCCTGACACAGCACTCTAGAAACCCGATTCAGCTTGGAGAGAGATGTTTGCAAGAGACGGTGCTGCCATTTCCACCCAGGAGGACTTTTGAATTATTTTTGTCAGGAGTCCCTTCCGTGAGTGAGTTGGTTGTGTATTGAAGCACCTTAGGCGTCACACTTGGGACTTTGGAGAGCGTGCTTTCTTTTTTTATTTTAACACTGAATTAAGTTCTCTTTTATAAGGTCACTATTACATGAAAAGGACTCTCAGAATGAGTTTCTTTCCTGGGGTTAGGCTATTAGAATTTAAAAAAATTTATCTATTGATCTGTATTTCTAGCAGTGGTGCGCTTTACTCCCCTCCTCCCCCACACACATTGGTGCTTTCGTTCTTAAGAGTCCAGTTCAGAAAGACGGGTGATTGTAAGGGGTTATCTTTGGGAAGAAGGCCCAATTTACGCTCCAGTTTGTCACGTCAGCTTACGGATGGTTTCAAAACATTTTGGGGACTCAAGTTCCTGCCGGCAGTTGTATATTGAAGATGGATCTCTTAAGTCTCGGGGTAAATAGTGGCAAAAGAAAGAAGAAAAGGACTTTTGTTTGGGTGCTGGTGGTGGCTGGGTGTGTCCCTATGTAAAGCAGTGCCTGGAGAGGAACCTCGGACCTAGCTGGTCTGGTCTTCCTCTGGACACTGTCTCTTGGCTGTATTTCACATAATGCTTTCTAAAAAGTCGCACAGCCTTCAAAAAAACGTGCTACTGAACTGAGTGCTATGTACATTTTCTCAAACCTTTCTCTTCTAACTACAGGAACATTTAAGCTAACAATAGAATTCACCGAGGAATATCCGAATAAACCACCTACAGTTAGATTTGTCTCTAAGATGTTTCATCCAAATGGCAAGTATCACCTTTAATGCGGTATTTGAAACTCCTGTGATGTGTCTTATGGGGGCAGTCCATATTCCCTAGCTGGCTGGCAGTAGGGCTTGAGTATTTGTTCAGGCATCTTGCTGTTTGCTGAGAGGAAAACTTGCTGCTGCTGGCTTTTGGCTGTTTGAATCTAAAGCCCTATATAGCCCTTTGTTTAGAGTCTCAGCCTCTTGCTTCTGTGGATTATTTGCTTATGAAACCAAACTCGGGGTGTTCTTCAGGTTTGATATTAATGCTGGACCAGACTGGGGCAGTCTAGGGTTGGAGTTATTTTCACTAGCATTTAGAGCCCTGTTTTAACTCCAGATGCAGAGCCACAGTTGCCTTGGTACACTTGGTAAGGACAGATGCCTTAGCCCTGCTCTGGACCTACTGACTGACTTCCTAGAGCCAGTCAGCAGTTACGTTGGAAAAGGGCCCCAGGTGATTCTAACTTACTAGTTTGCTTTTGGCCCAGGGGTCGGCCTAAAATTGCTTGCCTTCAGCTCACGTTTAGTGTTTTCCAGGATATCCAAGAAGAGTTTTATCTTTAGGCTAAAATGCAATTTTGTGGACTAGGATCCACCAAAAGTTCTTTCAGCTAAGATATCTAGCTTATAAAATTGGTGAAGTGAGTTCCTCAGATCAATGGGTGGCTAGAGAACCCTGTTAGAGATTGTTTCTGACTTCCTAGTAATGAGGCAGTCTTTTCCGGGGGAGCACCGAGGATCTTCCAGATTGAGAATGATCACAGATGACAGTCTGCTCATTGTGAGGATTTTACTAGTACTGAGTAGTACAACTCCCTTTTTTAAGAAACAAATTGGGGGGAGGGGAAAAATGAGGAGCTAATGTCGGGCGTTTAAGTGGAGAGAAAATGTTTTGAGAATGATGTACAAATGCGCTTTACACAATTGATGTGTGTATGGATTGAGATAACAGTTGTATGAGCCCCTAATAAAATGTTTTAAAAAAAGGAAAAAAAAGAAACAAATTGGGGTGTAGCCTGGAAATCATTTTAGACCTGACCCAAGCCCTCTGCTGTTAAGTTTATTCTCAGAACCACCCGATCACAGGCAGAGTAGAACTGTCTCCCAGAGTTTCCAAGGCCACCCTTTTTTTTTTTCCTTTTTTAAATTTTTTAAATTTTATTTATTTTTTAACATTTTATTAGGGGCTCATACAACTGTTATCCCAATCCATACACACATCAATTGTGTAAAG